TTGTCTAGGAACAGATGTGCCTCCTACCTTCGGGGCAGGGGAGATGTTGGCGCTGAACGATAACAGCTGATTCATTCTGTTCACTAGAAACAAGTAAGGTCTGGGGTACCAAAACCTGTTAGACTGGAGATTTCTGTCTTCGGCGATCTTCCCTTTTGGCCACTTCCCTTTTTTTAGTTGACAAATAATGCGATGAAGGCAGCAAAGACAAAGAGTTTAAGTTCTTTAAAGAAAAACCAACCAGTGGGGGAGCCCTTCTTGTGCCTGTGGATCCTCACTCACCTCTCCTTCCGAGGCTGACAGGGTTTTAGGTGTGTGATCAGAGTGTGATTTATTGAGGAATATTTGCAGTATTTCTCAGTGGTTTCCCCGCCTTCTTGCCTTGAGGTAGCATTTTCCCCGACAGTGTTTCCGTTAACAGCAAGAGTCCAGGAAGGTGTTCTCTCAGGTGTCCAAGAAGGGGGATAGGCCCAGCAGATACGTGTGATTTGGCCTCACTCCACCGCCATGGACCCCGTCCCACAGCAGCCTGAAGGTCGACATTACTCCCCAGGAGGTTCAAAGCCTTGGACCCAGCAGGGGACACAGTGCCAGGCATCAGCCATCCAGGGATGTGGCTTTGGAAGGCATCACAGCAGTTCTTTTCCGGCCAGTCATGCGTTTTCCCTGGGGGGTAACATAGGTGCTCCCTAAGTGGGGAAGGAAAGCCCATCCGCGGTCTCCAGAGCATCCTGGCGGAGATGAGCTCACCTGGGGTCGAGAGCTGGCTGAATCGGATCCCCAGAACTGCCTTTTAAAAAATACAAGGGCTGCTCTCCTCTCAAGTGTTGATTGAGATGGAAATCCATGCACTGGGGATTATCCTGGTGCATGGAAAATCAGTTGCACAAATCTCATTATGGCTAATAGTTTTGTAATGTTATTTTTCCCTCTAATTTGTAGAGATACTTTTCTCCATCATTGATTTATTGAGATATTTAGCAGCATAATACAAATGAGAAAAACAATCCACGGTGGAGAAACAGTGGACGCTTTCACAGCTGCCAGGTTTTTCTTACCCACTCATGATCGTGGTGTAAGTATTAGTGTGGATAAATCGCCCAGTGAATTATAAGTGGAGTCTAAAATGCTGAATATGCTAATTTTGGAAAGGAAGAATTAAGCAGAATAAAAATGTGAACATTCTCTTCTGTTAATTCAGAAGAAAATTCTGTTGGTATGACTCCCCCTGCCAACATTTTTCAATGTAAATAGATTGCTAAATAAATCGTTCTGTGTTGAGATTCTGTATCAATATTTTAAAATGCTTTTATGAAAAATGCACACAATTCCTAGAGCTATGACAGAGTGCTTAAAATAAAATGTAGCCTTTAGGTGACAGTAGAGGAAGGGGAAATAACTTTTTTTCTTCTGCAGGAGGAAAGCATTACAGAACCATTAATGCAGAACACATTCGGAGAACCTACTCAGAACGGTCTGAGAATACCTTTGACACTCTCAGTCTCTAAATTTCAGTGGTGTTAAGCAACATCCAGTTTTAAAGAGTCTGTGTTTCTTTTCCTTTAGCCTCTTTTACAGCATAAAATTGTCTATCTTTTTAGAGGAAAAACACTGCACAACTCATTCAGCATTTAAAGCCCTTAGAGCAGTGACTTGCTCATAGTAAGTGCGAAATAAAATGGTGGTGGTTAATATTTCCTGAAAGCCTGCTTGTGCTAAGCCCTGCAAGAGGCTATGGGATACAAAGATGTGTGGATGGATGGATGGATGGATGGATGGATGGATGGATGGATGCAAGGAAGTGTGAGTGGGTGGGTAGGTGGAAGAATGGATGGATGGAAGGATGGATGGATGGAAGGAAGGAAGTGTGGGTGGGTGAGTGGGTGGGTGGATGGATGGAAGGATGGAAGGAAGGAAGTGTGGGTGGGTGGATGGATGGATGGGTGGGTGGGTAGGTGTATTGATGGATGGATGCGTGGATGGATGGATGGGTGGATGGATGGATGGGTGGATGGGTGGATGGATGAGTGGGTGGATGGAAGAAAGGAAGTGTGGGTGGGTAGAAGAATGGATGAATGGAAGGATGGATGGATGGAAGGATAGATAGATCATGTTGTCAGATATTTATTGAACTCTTGAAAACTTTGAGGGCCCAGTGGTGCAGACAGACAGGTAAATGTGAAGAAGTGCTCTGGAAGCCGATTGGCAGAAGCAACCATCTCTTCCTGGAGTGTAGGAGTGGGGTCAACATTGGCCTCAAAAGAGGAATCTGATAGGGTGAAAGGACCTTGTTGATTTTCCTCCATCCCCTGCCCATAGACTATAAATAGCTCATCAAGAACAGAAATCTCATCTGATTCCCTGAGGGGTGGAACAGGGCCTGACCAAAGCCTGAGCACTTCAGTATCTGTGGAACGAATGCCTGGATGAACAAGGGACGGGGGAGGTCTGGGCTCCCAAGGCAGAGGGAGCAGCCTATGCAGAGAAAATGTGGGCTCTCTGTGCCCATTATTCGCTGATTGTTCTTATGCAAAACCGGAATATAAATCACAAACAACAGTCATTCCATGTGCAAACCTCAATATTTTAGGAGGGGGATAAAAGGCTTAAACTATGGATTGCCATTCTGACATTATTGGTGGTAATGGGTATGTTGGTGAGAAATGAGTTTAAACATGAATATTTAGAAATAAGTAAACATTGTACTACTTTTCTGCTTGTACAGAGATTTGTACCTTGAAAATCTCATTCCCATCTATTCCTTCGTTAGCCTGTGACTATAAGGACTTAATCGGTACAAACTCTAAATCCTATGCAAATATAGACTTATACACTAGCAATTTTCTTTCTGTTTACCGTTGGGCTAATCCACTTGAGCATAGCTGGGGTTTCGAGGTGTGTGAGGAGGTTGGTTTCCAGGTAATCCTTAGCTCCCCAGAAAGCTGTCAGCACATGTGCGTGCATATTTGATGTGCTCTGCCTCTCCAGATCTGCTCTTTTTAAAAGATCACATACCTGTGCCTATAAAAGAATTTATAATTCGTGAAGGATCACGGCTTCGAATGAACATTTTGGACTCTGAGCCCACTTCTTACCAAACCACCTCGTTAGACATTGGATTTATATTTTATTTTACAAACTCATGGAGTGTGGTGCTTACTATGTGTGAGGCATTGTTCTCATCACTTTATAAATATTAACTTGTTTAATCCTTGAAGTAAACCTATGATGTGGATGCCTTTGTTGTCACCATTCTACAGATGAGGCGCAGAGATGTAAAGTACTCTGCCTGAGGTCACACAGCTAACGTGTGGTGGAAACAGGCTTTGCACAAGGCTATCTAGCTCCAGACTCTGACCTTTTAGCCATGATGCTATGCTGTCTGAGTTTTTTGATGAAAGATATCCCTGATCACATTTCCTTTGCCCTGTTGGTAGATGCCTCAGAACCAAATCCGTTTGCTTCTTCCATTCTCTCTACATCCCAATTTTCTGGCTTTAATCTCAATTTTAATAATGTTTTCCTATATGTCAGGGTTTAAATAAACTTGATATGTATGCTTTATTGTGTAAAATATACACAATGTAAAATTTACCATTTAACCATTTTTAAGTGTACATTTCAGGGGCATTAAGTACATTCACATTGTACAACAATCATCACCATCCATCTCCAGAACTTGTTCATCTTCCCAAACTGAAACTCTGTCCTCATTAAACGCTAACTCCCCATCTCCCTCCCCCAGCCCTTGGAAACACCCATTCTGCTTTCTGTCTTTATGAACTTGAGTACTCCAGTGACCTCATATAAGTGGAATCATACAGTAATTTGTGTGTGTGTGACTGGCTTATTTTACTGAGCACAATGTCCTCAAGGTTCATCCATGTTGGAGCATGTGTCACAATTCCCTTCCTTTGTAAGGCTGGGTAATATTCCATTGTATGGATGGTCCACATCTTGTTTATCCATTCATCTGTCGATGGACACTTGGGCTGCCTCCACCTTTTGGTTATTGTGACTAGTGCTCTATGAACAGGAGTGTGCAAACATCTGTTCAAAGTTCAATACATCTTTTAATTTACATTTGTGTTTGTTGTCCCTGGACACAGATTAAAAAACTAACTGGTCTTAGGACAGGTTTGTTGCTGCAGCGCCTCCAAAGGACGCTCAAACTCGAGGGCGGCACTTTGTGCGTTTGGTTGGGGAGGTTAAGGCAGAATCCCCGGGTGGGGAGCCAGGCGCTGCAGGGTTGTCCTGGAGCACATGCAGATCCCACGACTCCCAGCACCTCCAGGCCAGCTGCCGCCCAGCGCCTTTCCTGCAGATGCAAGCATACGTGTTGTAGGTTATTTAAAGTTGTTTTGGGAGCACTGCAGCTACCGCTCTGGGCTCTCTGGGGAAGGCAACAGCATCACAGCAGAGCTGGCAGCTGGTTGGTAAATGAAGCTGTTGTTTAAAGTTTTTGCTCTGGCCTGTCGGCTGGGTTGTCGTTTCCAGTTAGAATGCAGGTGGGACGAAGACCTCAGAATGGTGGCTGGCGTGCACAGGGACCAGCTGGTGACCGGTGGGTGGCGGGTGGCGTTGTTAGTGCATCAGGGAGCAGGATCATAGGGTTAGTGACGGGTGCACACAGCAGGCAGGGACAGCAGCCAGCCAGAAGGGAGCCAGAAATCCTAAACCAAAGATGAGATCCAGTCCCAAACCAGAGGCGAGGGCCTGGAATCCCATGGGAGTGTGATAGGAGCAAGGAGAATGTTCAGGAAAATGCCACTGCCAGGCTTGCAGCCTTAGCAGAGTCTGTTCATTAGGGAAAGGACTCGCCTCTCTCCCACGCCCCCAACCTTGTGCAACTCACCCCAGGCTCTGACACTTCTTCACAGGCCCTGGGTGAGGGGAGCTGCCAGCTGACTGCGGGGCCGTTGCGCGTCCGAGCGCAGGGGGCTTGGTTTGGGGGATGCGCAGCCCTAACCTCTACTCCCGCTCACTCGCTCCTCTTGCAGATGAAGGCCTATGGGACATGTTTGTGAAGGACATTCCCCGGAGCGCCACATCCTACACCGTCAGCCTGGATAGGCTCAGGCAAGGAGTGACTTACGAGTTCCGGGTGGTGGCCGTGAACCAGGTGGGCTATGGGGAGCCCAGCAGACCCTCCACAGCCATATCAGGTAGGGACCCCTTCCCGGAAATCTTGGGGTGAAGCTGTTTCTTCTGAGGGAAGTGAGGATGACATAGAACCATCGTGAAAAGAAAGAGGACAGCCCCTGCTTCTCTCAGACTCTCCAACAGTCGGAGGCCTGCCCAGGGGACAGGTGCTGGGAGAATGGTGTGCTCCCTGGACATCCTCCAGGCCCGGAGCCACGATAGCAACAGCATCAGCAGCAAGGCCTCCCACAGGCTCCATGTTTGAGAAGACTTTCCTTACCACACTGTACCCAAGCAATTCTGAATTTGTGTCTTCCTTTCTCCTTAATCAGAGACATATGCAGGACTCAGAGCAGTCAGCTTGAGCCGAGCAGTGTTCCCCCTGGGGTGAAGGCACTCCCGAGCCTGGTGGAGCCCCGAGACCCTCCTGTTAGCTGGTGCACCCTTACCGTGGAGCCATGTGCGATTTTTGAAATGCAAGAATTGCCCCCAGCAGCCATGGGGAGTGTGTTAGCACTTGACAAAGTAGTGTCTGATCAGGGCTTCCCTGAGAGACGACTGTCGCCTGTAGATGAGATTGGAGGTGGAGGCGTCTGTCCTCACCAGCGACAATGTGTAAAGAGGTGTAACAGATGGGAGAGAAAGTGACCACCTGGGAATCAGGAAGGGCTTCTTGGAGGAGGGAGCATGGGCCTGGGTCTTGAAGGGTGCACAGGGACGTGGCCACAGGGGAAGGGAGATCCTGGACAAGCAGAGGGAGCAGCCGAGACAAAGTCTTGGTCAAGATGAGGCCAGTGGGACGAGCAGGTGGTCGCGTGGCCCAGACTCTCTCCTGGGGACGCCGGGTGCCTGTGAGAAGCGGTCTCCACCCTGGCTGCACCTTAGGATCACTCAGAAAACACCCACTCTGGGGCCCATCCCAGGACAGTGATTACATAGCCTGGGCCAGGGGTCTGGGCATTATTATTTTTCAACTTCGCAGTGATTCTTCTGTGCAGCCACAGTTGCAAGCCAGGGCTCTAGAGGAGTTTAAGTGAGGGGTGGGCTGCAGGATGACAGCCTGAAGGTGTTTGGGAAAAGGGAGCTGGCAGCAGAGAGCAGGACAGAGAGAAGTCTAGGAGCCTGCAGGCAGAGTCTGGGCCAGAAACCAGGAGAGGCTGCCTTACAAGCAAGAAAAACACGTTTCACTTCCCGTGCATTTAGATTTGTTTAAGCTCCTGACTGCTCTTGTTTAAACTGAAAACGTCCTTCATCTCCGCTTTCCCACGAGTTTGCGGCGAGCTCGAGCCCCGAACCTCCTGGTTGAGGATGCACGTGAATTCCAGGCTCACTCAGTGAGACGTGCTTCGAGAAAGAGAAGCAGGGCACCACTCGCTTATTTAATAATATTTAGAAAAAATCAAAATGTTCTCATTTCCTTCATTTTTATTATAACAATTTTAAACATTCCCCAAAGTAGAGAGAATAGAATAAGGAACCCCTGGCACCTATCACCCCAGTTCAGCAATTCAGGATTTGCCTCACTTGGTTCATCCGTGAGAAATCGACGTAAAGCAATTCCAAGTGCACAGAGCTTTTAATTCCACACTCATGTGGCCGGTGGCAAAGGCTGCTTCCTGCACAAGAACACGCTCCCGCACTTCCCGTTCCTGGGGCCTTGTGGCTTGAACGTTTCTCTGAAACCCGCTGCGTCCCCATGCTGGCCTCGGCTGCCAGCCGGACTGCGATCAGCTTCTCTCACCCTTCAGAGAAGCCAACAGGCCTCACCCACTGGCTCTGCCTCGGGACCCGGCTGTGCAGATCTGGGGGGTCCTGCCCTGGGGGGAGAATCCTGCAGGACAGCGAGGCCCTTCTTTCCCAGGCCTACTCTTGGCCACTTCCCGGTGCTCAGGTTGAGATTGGTTGCCTTGTTGGATGGAGTACTTAATGTACAGCCTGAAAACCAGTGCTGTTATCTCCTAAGAAACCCTATGGTGTTACATCATCCAATGCAAACCCCCCACCTTATTCCTAGCGTGCACGCCTTCATCCATCCAGTGAGGTATGTAACATGAGGCAGATGCGTTGTTGGTGGCTTTTGGCAGCTGGGAGGCAGACCTTGGGTTTCCCCTGTGACAGACTTCCTTCCTGCTCCATCCTGGGCGTCCGATGCCTCGGAACCAGCTCCTCTGCAGGGGCACGTGGAAGGCACTGAGTGGGACCCCAAGGCCATCTGGCACCTACCAAAAACAGTTCCCATTTTTCAGTTCTTAGTAAACAGAATAAAACATGAGGAAGAAGAGTATCCTTCTTCAAAGCAACTTTTAAATGAAACCTTTTATATTCATTTCTCAAAAAACACATCTAAAGATGGGGCCCGTTGTTCTGCTCAGTTTCACTGGAGGCATGAAATAAATAAAACACAGCCCCAGCCTTTGGGAGGGCCCTGATCTAGTGAGGAGGCCAACAGGTGGACAGGCAAACACATGCAGTGAGTGCATGAAACGAGAGGTTTCTGTGCAGGTGTGGACAGGATGACACAGTGCTCGGCATGAGTGGGAGACAGGGCATGGGGCCCCAGGGGCTCAGGCTGTACCCCGTAGCTAGCAGGGAGCCACTGAAGGCTTCCAGGAAGGGACGGCTTGTCTCCTTCTGAGAAAGAGCTCTCCAGTGGCAACGTAAAGAATGGACTTGAGCAAGACAGGAAGAGGGGAAACAGTTGGGAAGTGATTGCAGTGACGGGCGAGAGGTGGCGAGGGCCCCAGGCGGTGGCAGTGGTGACAGAGAGGGCGAGGGTACTCGGGGGCTGTCTGGGAGGGAAGCCTCAGCGCTCAGAGAGGAGGAAGTCCGGGCGCTTTTGTTCCTTCCTCCCTTTAACCCGGACAACATTTGTAAGCAGGTGAAATTAGGAGAATGTGAGTAAGCGTGAGGGGCAGTTTTGATGGACAAGGTCAGGGCCAGCTCCAGGGTAGGGAAGGCTCCGGGGCGGGGGGCAGTGTGGGGACAGAGGAGCCCTGAGCCTGATTCCCACAGAGAAGGTGGGAAACTGCTACCGCTTGATTCCCAAACCCGAGCCTTGTCTCGGGGAGACTGGTCCATCAGCCCGCGACAACCCAGACCAGGTGGTGGTTCCGTCTTCCCTGTGACTCGGGGTTGTCCCTCATATCTTCCATCCCCCACCCACTCCGCTCAGCGGCAGAGGACTGAATCTGGAGTTTCTATCAGACATCACTGTGTACTCGTGTCTGCCCTGCAGCTCAAGTGGAAACCCCGTTCTACGAGGAGTGGTGGTTCCTCCTGGTGATGGCGCTCTCCAGCCTGATCATCATCCTGCTGGTGGTGTTCGTCCTGGTCCTGCATGGACAGAACAAGAAATACAAGAACTGCACCACAGGTGGGGCATCTGACTTTATTTCCCCAAAAGTGCCCTGCCCACCCGTGAGCTAAGGTTTATACATTTTTTCCTCTCCCGGATCAGCCGTGCCAGCATCCACACTTCCGTTTCATTTGCCTGTAGGAGATAAAGTAGATGCAACGCACTTCCCTTCTGGAGGCAGCGAGGTCGAGCAAAACAAGAGTCGACCTTGGTGCCTGGATTCTGGCCCTGGCTCTGCCCTCACATAAGCCATGTGTCTTGGATATGTCATTTGGTCATTTGGCCTCTCTGAGCCTCAGTTTCCTCACCTGCACTGTTGCTCAAATGCAATAGTATTTTTGAATCTGATTAGAAAGTATGAAGCATTAAACAGATGAAATATCGTACTGTTCAGTGTCATGAGAACAGTGAACTGGGTGCATCTCAGAAATGTCAGTGTGGCTCATGGAATATTACAGAAACGTGTCTCTGGTACAGCCTTTCTCATCGATTGAGTTTGTATCTGGCCTTACCCACCGCGTTCCAGCTCTGAGCCTCTGAGGGCCGGTCACTCATGTATGCTCAGCATCATGTATGCCTTGCCTGGCATACAGTAGGTGCTCAGTACGTGTTTGTTGCTGAATGAGTCGCCATCATTAGAGAAATGGACAAATGGACATGGGGCAAAGCCTGTCACAAAAGAGCACGTTCAGTATAACTCCATTTACAGGAAGGTCAGGATTGGATGTTTCTGGAAGGCAGAATAGTGGTTGTCTCTTGGTGGAGAAGTATGAACAGAGAAGGTATGTGAGGGAACCTTTCGGGGTGCTGGAAATGTTCTATACCTCTCTGCCAATGCTGGTTATACATGTAAGGAGGAAACATCACTCCAGAGGCTTGATTAGTACACTTTGTGCATTTTATTATCCTCAATTTTTAAAAACTCATAATTACCATTGAGACCACTTCTTTGCATAACCAGAACATGGCTGACCTCTGGACTGTGGTCTGTTTTAGCCCACACAGCATCTGCCGCAGCGGTAGCCGGGCCCAAGAACGTGAATGGTTCTCGGGGTGGCCGCGCCGGCGGGACAGGACCTGCCTGTGCCCAGCCCCGTCCCTGGAGCTTCTCCCGTCAGCTCCTCTGTCTTTCTGTTGTAGAAAGGCCGATCCCTGATGAGGTTTCCCTTTAAAGGAGCCGGCCATGGTAGCCCTCAAGGCTGAGGAGGCCGAGGAGCGGATCCCCCAACCCCAGCCACCAGCGCCACCCGTCACTGTGCTGAAAGGTTCACAAAACCAGGCACCTGAAGCACTTCCCCATTTGCTGTGGTAATGTTAAGCGAGTCATCCCTCCAAGAAAGGATTTATTTTTTTCTGTATAAATTCACTCTAACAAGTGTTCATAAATCAGGTTTTATTCCTATGGGATTTTACAATGTATGAATGGCATGTCATTTGACTGAGTTAATGCTGTTACAGAATCCCGTGTCTGCCGCATAGAAAAATCTCCCCGCTTTTCACTCTCCTTCTCCATCTGGAAAACAGACCTGAGAAGTCAGAGCTGACCTGCAGCTTCTGATACTTGGCCTCACCTTGGAGTATTAATTTAGCACCATAATTGAAGCCTAGAAAAAAGAATACTTTCTACCAGAGCGTCTACCTTCCCGCCCAGGAGATATGCAGAACCTCCACCTTTGCTATTTCAGCCTCCTTCTGCCCCCTGCTTGTACTCCCGTGTGCTCCCGTCCTCACCAGATTGCCTTTCTGATACTGCTTTTCACCTGCTCACCTCCCATCCGTCCAAATCCTTCCTCGCCAGCAACTTCAGCTTTCACCCTCCCCTCTGTGTGCTGTTGGCTTGTTCTGTCGCACACAAGTAGAGCATTAAGGCGTGTTGAGGGGCGCTAGGTTCCCAGCAGAGAGGGCCCCTTGGGGGTTAGAAATGGCCGAGGAATTTAACAGGCGTATGTCAGCCCCTGGTGTGTGCTCAGGCACTGTCCTGGCGGCTGGGACAGTGGGAGCATAACACGTGAAGTCCGGGCCTCAGAGAGCTTAGAGTCTAGTGAGGGGATAGAAGGTAGACAATCAGAAACAAGCACATACATGAAAAGTATATAAAAACACACAAAGGTGGTGATGAGCACCAGGGGGAAGCATTATGCAGGGTGAAGACCGTACGGAACGCTGGGAGAAAAGGAGGTGGGACAAGGGGCGGTTGCCCTTCCAGGAGGTCTGAAGAGTTCTCTCTGCCTCCTGACATGTGAGCTGTGACCTGAGGGAAGGGAGTGAGTAAGCCAGGAGGATATCTGGGGGAAGGGGCTTCCGGGGACAGACCGGCCCCAGCACAGGGACCACTGTAAGGCCTTTGGCTTACACGCCAGATGCCATGGGAGGCCATCGGAAACTCGGTCCTTTGGTTTCTTGTAGCTTGACTGTTATTCATTTGATCTGCTAAGATATTAGAATATGTTTTGATATGTATTTGTAAATTTACTTTTTTTAGAGTGGCTTTTAGTATATTGACAGATACGTGCAACAGTCAATTTTAGAACATTTTCATCACCTCAAAAAGAAACCCTGTCCCCTTTGCTATCACCCCCCAGTAAATTTACTTTCTACGTACTGTTTTGTTATATGATTGTGAGTTTTTCATTTTGAAATTTATTAAATATTTAATTTCTCCAATTTTTAAAAAGTTTATGCATTTTGAGTACTTTTTCATAAAATACTGATAAGAATACTGGTATTTTGGTGTCAGGCAAAGTAAACACCAAAATGCTGATACTGTCATTTTGGGGCAGCATTGTAACTAATAAACGGCATTTCTCCCCAATGTGACTCTAACGCCTTGCAAGCTGCAGCAGGTCCGGCCCGGCCCTGGGCTCTGCGTTCACGGGAACTCAGTGAGCACCTGTGGTGGACCAGCTCTGGCTCAGCGTGGCTGCAGAGGGCACCTACTGAACTGTCGGTGCTCGTTTTCCTGGTCTGGCTTTAGGTAAGAGCCTCTCCAACATGGAGGAGTCGGTGACCCTGGATAATGGAGGATTTGCTGCCTTGGAGCTCAATAGCCGCCACCTCAATGTCAAGAACACCTTCTCGAGGAAGAACGGGACCAGGTAGGGAGGCAGCAGCTGCAACCCCCATGGGCGGCATCTGCCCGAGGGACCTGGGCCAGCCAGGGCCGGGGTGCTGGCCGAAGACATTCCCCACGCCCACTGGTACCCCCGAATCCCAATAGGGGCAGCGTTGAATCTAGGAGGGCAGGCATGGCAGGGGGGGAGGGATATTTTACATTCGTTTCTAGAGATATGAAAAGAGGGCAGATCTCAGGTGTGTTGGGAAGTGGTCTGGGGAGACCCCTGTGCCAGCTGACCCAGCGCCTTGGATTAGGGGATGCCTGCTTCACCTGGGCGTCAGATTAAGCTGCAGTGGACTTGTAATGTTTTGCATCAGTTGCCAAAATGGTGTCAGAGGCAGTGGATTTCCGCTCATTAATATATGAACGAGACCAGAGGGCGGGTCAGGAGGCCTCCACGGCAGGTAGCTTTTGCCCAGAGCTGCCCTGAACCAGGGTAACTTGCAGCATCGTCCTCATCCCAGGTCCCCGCCGCGGCCGAGCCCTGGTGGGCTGCACTACTCAGACGAGGACATTTGCAACAAGTACAACGGTGCCGTGCTGACCGAGAGCGTGAACCTCAAGGAGAAGTCGGTGGACGCCTCAGAATCCGAGGTCAGTGCCTGAGACCACCATTCCCCACTTCTGTAGGGAGCCCTCTGCTTTCTTGAGGTGCCACATACTTGTCTTGTCTCATCTGAGTCTCACAAGAACCGCACAAGGCAGGCAGAGCCAGTGACAAACGACCCCATTTCACAGATGAGGAAAGTATGAGCAGAGCCCAAGTTCAGACCCACAGCCCCCATGGGCCGTCAGCCCCTCACACACAGCCTCGAGCAGAACAGATGCTTCGGGCCTGCTTTACGGGGAAGCAGATTGTGCCTCTCAGCAAATCCGCTTCTTAAATCCCAGGGAGCTAGGGTGAGAAAGAGACGAGCTGGCATCCTCTGGGAGAGGCATGCTGCGGACAAGGGTCGATGTGACTGCACGCCCAGCAGGTCTCGCATCTGCCGCTGGGCGCTTTCCCATGCTCTGTCTCCTTTAGTCCTGGAGGTGACATCAGTGGTGCAGGGCCAGCTCTGCGATCAATAACTTTCCCAAAGTGGACTTCCAATCTGGAAACCATTCTCTTTCTGTTTTGTTTTCAGAAATAAACCTAGTGTTTCTGGAGGTAACCTTAGAACTTGGTGGCCCCTAGACCCCAGTTGGAAAGTCGGAGGGCCTGAGCCTGCAAGACTGATAGGAATGGGGACACCCTCCCCCTACCCCCTGGCATTTCCTTCCCCTCCCACCAGCCTCACCCGTTCTTGCTTCCTGGTCTGAGGAGGGCGATTTAACCACGGCAGCTCTGGGTCAGTTAACAGGGTCTGGTGAGCTCCCACTTGAGACGTGTCCCTGTCCTCACTGAGCAGTTGGACGAAGGAGATCTTGCCCCCTAGAGAGTGTCGGCTTCCAGCCGTGACCCCCAGGACCGTGGGCCTGCATGTCTCAGGCCTCCTTTGTGTCTGGGCGTCCAGTTACAGAGCTGAGCACGTTCCGTGCGCGAGGCTCAGTGAGGAAGCAGGCCAGGGAGGACGCTGTCCAGGGAGATGGCCGTGGGGGCTCCAAGCAGGGGCTCAGCTCCCCCTCCCCTTGCCTCACCAGCGCGCCGTCTCAATAGCTTACATTCACAGGCAAACCGGCTGAAGCAGCAATCAAAGAGGTGGTTCCCTCTCAGTGCTAAACTTTCTTATTTGAGACATGCCAAGTCTGGAGAGGGACAAAAATCAGCAAGCCATTTGCTGGACACGTAGGCCTGCCCACCTCTTGGCATTCATACTCTAAATCAATATTTAATCTAAAATAAGTCTCACCTCCATTTTGACCTGAATTCAGGCCTTATTGAACCCCAGGTATCCATAAAATGGCTTCTTTTAGATTGTGGTTTGTATATGAACTAGGGAGACAGGACAGCAGCTGGGGTCAGTGTGACACCGGCTCCACTCTGCTTGGCACTGTCTGTTTACAAAGGACGCTGGGCTCCCCATCTGGCCCATAGGCTTGGGCGTGATGAAAACAGCAGCAGCACTGCAGCTGTTGGGAAAGGGACACTTGTCTGCAATCGAGGGGCTGTCAAGTGAAATCCTGCAAAAACTGACCTGCTCTCTTGTGATAAGGGAACAGCAGCCTCGTTTGTGCTGCTTGCACGAAAAGCAGCCAGAACGTGGGAAGGAGCAGGACTGCCTTCCTGCAGGGCCTTTCTGGGTCAGCAGTTAGAGACACGATCGCACAGCACCTGCTAGTGTCTGACCTTCATTCCTTGACCTGAAGCCTTTAATGTATACAGGCGTCATGGATGATATTCATGGCGATCGTGCATCAGCTCTGCAGGTTGAGCTAGTAACAGTTCAGTGTGTGCCAAGCACTAATTGAGCACCTACTGTGGGCCAGGCATACTCCTTTAATAGTCACACCAGCCCTGCGAGGTAGGGTGATTCTCACCATCATTCCGAGGACAAGGCTGAGTCTGAGGTCATCTCCAGAGCTTAGCTGAGCTCTGCCCGCTCCACCGCCTCCTCCAGCCCAATGCCAGGGAGTCAGCGGCCATCCCCAGAGCAGCCAGAATTGGATTCATTCTCGAAATGGGTTAATGGAAAGCATTCAGTCTGTTTCTCCTCTCACACACTCAGGGTGTTTTGAGATTTCAATTCAGCTGATTTTTATGGAGGATTATGAAATGCATGCAGGTTCTGAGCTAGGCGTATACGTACATGCATACATGCACACATACATGTATACCTCAGTACAAGCACACCCATACACACAGAAGTGGAGGAGGGAGGGGATGGGGCACGGAGGGAAGAAGAGAGGAGGGCAGAGGTAGGAGGCGAGAGGGACACGGAATCCACACTAAATCCTGCAAGGAGGTTGTTATGATCCTCATATAATAGATCAGAGAGCTGAGGCTTACCGAGGGTTTTGAATGCCTTCCCCAGACACCACAAATAGGTGGACTTGAGAGGCAGACCTGCAGTGCAGGACTGAGTTGTCATAGCACAGGGACATGTGGCTAAGCGAGTGAGGAGCCCCTGTGCCAGGAGGAAGGGGATCCTTTTGTAATTCCCACAGATGCCCCTCGTGGTACCTGGGTCCTCTATCTGCTCCTGAGTTCCTGGGTAGGTAGAGTGAGGCCTGTCTTTTTTCCAGAGTTCTTTGCTTTTATAACCTTGCTAGGTCCCAACTTTGAACCTTATGAATTTGGGAGATTTGCAGGCACTAAATATTCATAGAATCCAAACAGAGGGAATTGGGGGACTTTCATCCTCTTGGAAAAGCCAGCTCAGATGGGAAAGTTTACTTTGAGTCAGGTTTTTTAAACAGCTGGATTGAGGTATAATTCATGTTAGCACACAATTCACCCATTTGGCATATTGGTTATTTAGGAGTCTGTTTTTTAATTTCCTCCTATTTGTGAATTTCCCAAATTTTCTTCTGTTATTGATTTTTAATTTTATTCCACTGTGGTCAGAGAACATACTTTGTATATTTTCAATCCTTTTAAATTTATTGAGTCTTGTTTTATGGCCTAGCATATGGTGTATGCTGGAAGAATATTCCGTATCCACGTGAAAAGAATGTGTTATTCTGCTGTTCTTGTGTGGAGTGTTCTGTTGGTGTCTCTTAGGTCTAGCTGATTTATAGCGTTGTTTAAGTCTTCTATATTTTTTATCTTCTGCCATCTGTTAATGTATTGAAGTCTCCAAATATTATTGTTGAATTATCTATTTTTCTCTTCAATTCTGTCAGTTTTAATGTCATGTATTTTGGGAATCTGTTTTTAGGTGCATATATGTTTATAAGTGTTATATCTTCTTGATGTATAGACCCTTTTATCAATATAACATATCTCTCTTTGTCTCTAGTAACAGTTTTTGTCTTAAAGTCTATTTTGTCTGATATTAGTATAGTTACTCCAATTCTCTTTTGGTTACTGTATACGTGGTATATCATTTCCAACCTTTTCTTTCAATCCATTTGAAACTTTGAATCTAAAATGTGTGTCTTGTAGACAGCGTATAGTTGGATCTTGTTGTTTTATTCATTCTGTCAATCTCTACCTTTTGACAGGTTGTTTAATCTGTTCACATTTAATGTAATTACTGCTAAGGTAGAATTTACATCTGCTGTTTTGATATTTGCCTTCTATATGTCTCATATCTTTATTTCTCTATTTTTCCATTACCGTCTTCTTTTTTGTTAAGTGGATATTTTCTGTGTACCATCTTAATCTCCATGTTTTTTCTTTTACTATATTCTTTTCAGTTATTTTTGTTAGTGATTGCTCTAGTATCAGTATTACTTCAGATTTATACTAAATTTCAGTGACACATAGAAACTTTATTACTGTATATCTCTATTGCCTCCTCCCCTTTTTGTGCTATTGTTATACATATTATGTCTCTATATGTTACAGATTCAAGAATAGAGTTTTCTAGTTGTTACTTTACAGAATTGAAAGTCTTTTAAAGAAGTTGAAAGAAGAAAGGAGAGCTAGTATATATTTAAAGTTTATGACTTCAACCTTCTTATTTACGATTTCTAGTCCTCTTCATTTCTTCCTAGGGATTCAAGTTACTATTTTCTTCCTACTGCTTCCTTTATGCTGTTATTGTTAAAATGTTACATTTCTATGTGACAAGCCCAACAGTACAATTATGTACATATTGTTTTATGCAATTGCTTTTTAAATCAGATAAGAGAAGAAAGGAGAAGAAATATGCAATTATACTTTTTATAATTACCTATGTAATTGCCTTTGATGGTACTTTTTGTTTTTTCATGTCAATTTGAATTACTATCTGGTGTCACTTGCTTTCAACCTGGCAATCTTCCTTTAGTATTTCTTGTAAAGAAGGCCTGCTAGCAATGTGTTTTTCTGTTTTTGTTTATCTCAGAATGTCTTTATTTCACCTTCATTTTTTTTGTGTGTGTGTGAGGAAGATCAGCCCTGAGCTAACATCCGTGCTAATCCTCCTCTTTTTGCTGAGGAAGACCGGCTCTGAGCTAACATCCATAGCCAATCCTCCTACTATTTTTCCCGAAAGCCCCCCACTAGATAGTTGTACATCATAGTTGCACATCCTTCTAGTTGCTGTATGTGGGACGCGGCCTCAGCATGGCCAGAGAAGTGGTGCGTCGGTGCGCACCCGGGATCTGAACCTGGGCCGCCAGTAGCAGAGCGCGTGCACTTAACCGCTAAGCCACGGGGCCGGCCCTCACCTTCATTTTTGAAAGTTGTTCTGCTGAATATAAGATTCTTGGTTGTCAGTTTTCTTTCAGCACTTCGTGTTACCCCATTGCCTTCTGTCCTCCATTTTTTCTGATTAGAAGTCAACTGGTAATATCATTTGAGTTCCCTTGTACGTTATAAGTCATTTTTCTCCTGCTGGTTTCAAAAGTTTCATTTTGTCCTTGTCTTTTAAATTTTTGACTATGATGTGTCTGGGTGTGGATTTTATTCCATTTATCTTACTTTTAGTTTATTGCTCTTGTTGGGTGTGTAGATTTTTTTATCAAATATGGGAAGTTTGAAGTCATTATTACTTCCCATTTTTTTCTGCTTCTTTCTTTCTCTT